ATTCCCATCGTTCCATATTGTCACGGTTACATTAACATATCGAATGCCGATTCGAATACCATTGCGTTTTACGTTATAGTTACACTGTGACAAAAGTAATAGGCAGTTTCCTGTAACCTATTATTGAGAAAACGAATACTTATTGGTAATAGTGTTATTTATCCAAATACGTTATATAAGGCCCATCTTTACAGGAGAATACCCTTACTCCCCTCGTACCAGAGTTGCTAAGAAACCAAGGGGCTCTAACGAGCAGACTAAGTCATAAAGCACCGTGACAAAAGCATTCAAAATGGTGGTAGCACACAGACCTCTCCTTCTCAGTCCTAACCCCTTTTGGGATGTGGTGACACCATCAGGCATTCACAGTTTTTTCACGACTTCCCTCCATCCTTCTCTGTCCTGGGCTAGTTGTTCAGCTTCATGTAACCCTTGGTTAATCAATATTTTTGTTTGATCTACCCTACGGCTTGGAGATCTTCCCCTAGGTCTCTTTCCTTTAACTCTACCCTCGACTATCAGTTTTTCCATCGTGCCTGTTCTCCTAGCAATGTGTCTAAAACACTGCAAATATCTCTATTGTATTTTTTTAAGCAATCTATCCTTTACTTTAAGTTGTTCTAATATCCAGGATATTCTCAAAATGCGGCGGTATACCCACATTTCAAAAGCGTGTTGTTTATTTTTATCCGCTTTCTTTAAGGTCCACGTTTCGGATGCATATGTGGCTATGGGAAAAATGAGCGCCCTTACCAGCTTTATTTTTGTGTGTATTGTTATGCTAGAATTTTTCCAAATTGCTATCAGTTTCATCATAGCTGTTCTAGCATTAGTCAACCTTCTACGTATTTCAATTTCATCTTGAAGCAAGCCCATAACAATTTATGATTGGATCCACATTCAGCTCTTGGTATAGTTTTTACGCTTGTAAAGCATGTCTGCCATCTGTTTCTAATCATTATGTAGTCGATTTGGTTCTTGTATTCTCCATTTGGGCTGGTCCAAGTCGATAAACGACGAGCATGATGTTTGAACATTATGTTTACACACACAGACACCATCCTGATATTCAACTAGATCGGGCTCAAGCAAATTTGATTATTAACAAACTGGAGCAAGCACTTAATGAGGCTCCTATGGAGGTCAAAATGAACTTCTGCAGTTCCGTGAAACATGGTTTAGCGAAGGGACCCTGTGGGTGAACTGTGTTAACGAGTATACAAAAAAATGAACAACTAAAGTGGTAAAGACTATTGAGGGCTTATAGGAGGGAGCAAACTTAAATATAATTGATCCAAATAATAAAGAGGCAAAATCAAGTACTTAATACAGAAGACTGGTTGTGATCTCTGTGCTCCACAACTTTCTAAAATTGCTAAAAATTTTCTACCTAAACATTTAGGAGTTGAATATCACTGTGGAATGAGCGCCGGCAACTGGGTTATCACTAAAAGTTTTTTCTAGAATACCATTTAACACCTGCCTGTGAGTTCTATGGGGGCAGATTTTTAATTTAATAAGGAAGACAAATTGAACCTTCAAATGAAATCGTAGGCTTCCACGGCCAGAGTCAGAATTATAGTTTATTCGCCAAGACATTCTCGTCAGTTTCGATGTATCATCCCTATTTACCAATACCCCCATACACGACTCTCTAGTTGTTCTGCGAGATCACTTGACCAATGATAACAAGTCTTTGGTTTTGGCAGATCTTGCGGAAAAATGCCTCCTTTCAACATATTTTTCTTTTAGAGGCAATTTCTACAAACAAATATCTGGAACACCAATGGGTTCTCCCCTTTCCCCTGTCATTGCTGACATTTTCATGGAAGCCTTTGAGTCTTTAGCCCTAGAATCTTACCCCTTAAAACCAAAAGTCTGGTTCCGCTACGTTGATGATAGATTTATCATCTGGCCCCATGGTCAACATACCCTTTCTAGATCATCTTAACTCACAACATCCGAGTATAAAATTCACAATGGAAGTAGAAAATAATCGGTCCCTTCCCTTTCTCGATGTGTTAGTCACCTCCAAGCCCAATGGCCGATTGGGTCACTCTGTTTATAGAAAAAATACTCACACGAATCGTTACCTACATGCTTCATCACACCACCATCCTGCCCAAAAGAATTCTGTGATCAACTCTCTCATCCATCGGGCCATTTCGATTTCTGAACCTGACAACCTTGGAGAAGAACTTGGCCATCTGCAAAAAAGCCTTGTCGCCAACGGTTACTCCAAGTCCACAATTCAAAATATTACACACCGACATCTACATCCCCCTTTACACCCTAGGACGACAAATTCAGAATCTTCGGGTAATACTCCTGTGGCTTTTCTTCCGTATATTCGAAGTGTCACTGATAGGATTGGCAAAATTCTTCGCAAAGAAGGTATCAGGACTACTTTTCGACCACCCAAGAAAATCTCACAATATCTACCCTCACCTAAGGACCCATTACCCCCCCTATCTTCCTGTGGTGTCTATTCTATTCCTTGTTCATGTGGACATGTGTATATTGGCGAAACTGGTCGTTCCGTCAAAACTCGGATTCAAGAGCATCAAAGATGCATTCGACAGGTCTTTTCTCCAATTCTGCAGTTGCAGAACACTGCCAAGAAACCGGTCATTCCATATTGTTCGAAAAAACCCATATTATTACTGAGAGCCCCTTCTTTTATTCCAGGAAAATCCGCGAATCTCTAGAGATCCGAAAAAATCCACATAATATCAATCGAGAGGAAGGATACTACTTGTCTCCCATCTGGAATCTCAGTCTAGAGCCGACGTCCGGTCCCGCTACCACGATGCAGCCACATGATTGGCCAGCGCGCGCTTCTTGACGTTCGCGCCACGGAGTGTGCCGATACGTCCCGACACGACAGGTCACCGCGACTATAAATAGAGCGGTAGCGGAGTAATCGTCGGATTCACTCCCCGCCTCTCGACGCGTTAGTGTTCTGAGCTGTTGGACGTGAATCCCTGTCCTGGCATTTGGTTTTCACCTCTGGCTGCGTTAAGTAGTTGAGTTACTGTGACCAAATGCTCATCTTGGTAGTTAGTATTCGCCTCTGGTTGCGTTGAGTAACTGAGTTACCGTTGTTAACTACCCATCTCCTGTCTTTTGATTTCTTTTTCTTTGTTCTCCTGAAGAAGCTACATACAATTATAGCGAAACGTCGAGATGAACCCACTTTTGGGTCACTCACAAATGACACGGTCCAAACCCGGAAGACGAATAAACTACTATAAATTGAACCTTGTTTTACTTAATTGTAGGTATGCAGTAGCTCTTCTCAAAATCTATAAAACAGACGTAAATTGGTTTCTGTACTTCCCATGATCGTTGAAGTAGTGTTAGCATTGAGAACAAAGCTTCCCTTGTTCCCAATCATTCTCTGAAACCGAATTGTTTATTTCCCATTGTGTCTTCACATTTCTGCTTGATTCTATTAAGAATTATCCTAAGAAGTAGCTTGAGAGAGTGACTCATGAGACTAATTAGTCTAAAGTCTTTACATGATGAAGTATTAGGTTTTTTTGGAAGTGGGATAAATGTAGACTCAAACCATATTTGTGGCAGTGTTCCAGTTTCGTATGTGGTTATAAATGTTTGTTAGTTCTGAGACATTGTCATCGTCTAGAAGTTTGAGCCAGTCTGATGGTATTTGGTCAGGGCCTGGAGATTTCCCATTTTTGCTTTATTTGATGGCTTTCTCTACTTTTGCTTTTAAAATACTAGAACCAGTATTCGTATACTTTGTATCGTCGTATCCAGGAAGAGCTCTTTTATGTAGTTGGTCCATTCTTCCTATTTTTCGTTTTAAGTCGAGAATAAATTTACCTTTGGATTTTCTAATAAAGTGAGGAGTTCTTATTCTGAGTGTAGGTAATTTCTTTGGGTTTTTTGTGTATATTAAACTCGAAATGTTTTCTTTGGAGTTCTTCCATCTCTGTTCCAGCCAGGCCTCTTTTGCTCGCTTAACCTCCGATCTTATTTATTGATATATTTATCTTCTATGGAGTATCTGATATGGAGTAGTAACTATACCGTACTGAGGAGATCTAAAGAGATCGAAATACGTATATGCGGCTTGTTGCTGCTCTGTATGAAATCAAAATATAATACCGTCATTTGTTTTGTTTATTTACTTCATTTGGAGTACCAGAAATCGAATTCACTACGAATATAGGCCATGATGAACGGCATTTGGAGTGCAATTTTTAGACTCCCTTGCCGATGCATTCATCAAGCTGTTTGCTTCGCAAGTCTTAGGGAGCACGGCGGCCTATATTTGAATTCGATTTCGCCAGGTAGAAATCGTATGATTTCTCTTTTTGATATCTTTATCTATATCGAGTCTCATCTTTATTTTTATAATTTCTTCTTTGCTCAATAAGGTCTAGTATGTTATCGGTCATCCAATCCTTGTTCTTTATTGGCTCTTTTTCTGATTTCGAAACTTCGTTTGCTATGGTAACCATGGCGAAATTTTAGCCTTTAGCTGTTTTTTAATTTCATGATATCATCTTATTTCGGAACTCATCTGCTATTACCGCATTTCTTATGAGTCGATTATTGTGTTTTTTGTGAGCTGTCGGGGTTTTTATTATTTTAAATTTTAGTTTAAATCTAGCACAGAGCAGATTATGATTAGTTGCTGCACCTGCACCTGCGAATGTTTTTGCAGATGTAGTACTGTTTCTAAACCTTCTGTTAATGATAATGTAGTCGATTTGATTTCTAACTACTTTTCCTTCTTGATCAGTTGGAGATTTCCAGGTACATAGTCGTATATAGCCACACAGCCACACTGTATATCCAAAGTAATCTGCTATTTAAGGGGTTTCATGTAAACCATACCCCGACAGTAAGCGGAGATTATGTTTATTTTAGCTTAAGTATAGTATAATTCTCTGATCTTCCTATGCATTGTTGAGGTTAAAGAAGGAAAAATACAAATACAAAAATACTTTGTAAAAATATATAGTCGTTTAATTAAGAATAAGTAAAGTGTAATCACTAAATCACACTTACAACTAAAGAGTCTTAACATAAAGTATCAATAAAACTTGTGTCAGTTACGTATTTAGCGGTTCTTCAGTGAAATACTTGTGGCTTAAAGCATCCAAGGCAGTCAGTCTCTTCTTTGGATCGAAAACGAGCATTTTCTGAAACACATCGTATATTTATTAAGATTCAAATACTAAACGCCGTCGTTCTTAAAACAGTTCAGAAAATAAAGCATGCTGTATATAAAAATATGCTCACCGTTATCAAATCACATACAGTTTCACACATAGTGGGTGATATTTGGTCAATCCTAATTTGATTTATAACATTGAAAGATTCCCATTTTATGGAAACGCTCTCCTCAGGCCACTCATCCTCGGACGGTTTACCTATCACTCTGCAAAAAAAAAATTATATTAAACGTAAGAAAAATTATAAGTAAATTAAATCATCAAAGTACAAATGCGAACATTTCTTATACCAAAAAATTTCTTATACCCAGAGAAAAATCATCCCGAATTCCATGAATATACGGCCTTCCAAAAATCCTAATGTCCTCCTAAGACCCATCGTTAGTGTATACAATTGCTCCACTCAGACATTGGCAAAACATCTCACCTTATCCTACAACTATTAGCTGAAAACGCCTCGTCCTTTGTCAAAAACTCTTTTCATTTCATTAATCTTCTGAAAAACATTTATATTTCACTCTCAGATATACTAGTTACTTTTGACATTGTTTCTTTATTCACCAACATTCCTATCGATGAAACCATTTCCATCTTGGACTCTAAACATCAAATCCCCGAAGATACATTATCTCTTATAAAACACTGCATGTCTAATACATACTTTTCATTCCAAAATCATTTCTATCGTCAAATAAAAGGTGCCCCAATCTCCTTAAAATCTTAAACCCATCTACTGGTTACAGTACGTTGATCATACCTTTGACCTCATGGTAAAGACACATTAGCTCTCTTCCTCTTCTACCTGAATGGAATACATCCCAGTATTCAATTTACGATGGAGTCTGAAGCGTCTTTGCCATTCCTTGATATACTTATTCAGAAACACCCACTTCACAGTTTTTCCTCTTCCATGTACCGGAAATCCACTCATACAAACAGTTATCTCAATGCCCAGTCACCCCTCCCCCAACTTAATTCAGTTATCAAATCAACACTGTTGTTTTCTGTCCCATAAGACTTAGCGACAACGATCACAGATCATCCGAAATCAACTCAGTAAGGCAAACACTCTTAAAAAAAGGCTACCTCAAAACCCAAACTAAATCAATAGGGCATTCAAAAACATATAAACCCCATTCCATCCAAAAAAAGAAGCTTTGCCGCCTGATCAACCCAAAATCTTTCTACCTTTTATCAAAGGTGTTACTGACAAGATCAGTAGAACTTTTAACCCTCTAAACATCAAAACCATCTTCACTACTCACTCCAAGTTGTCCAATCTCGTCAGATCCGCAAAAGACCAAATCTAAATGAAGACGACCATGGTGTGTACGACATACCTTGTTCCAGTTGTCCATACATAGGACAGACAAACCGACGAATCCATATCCGTATTTACGAACATTCTATATCTGTAAAACATTCCGATACTACTTCGGCCGTCGCCCAACATTAGACAGGCCTCAAAATAGATTTCGAAAACGCAAAAATCCACTCCTCCATCCATCCACTCCTTAAAATCGAGAATCATTCGTGAAGCCATCGAAACGACTATGAAGATACTACGAATGAAACTTGTGTACACTCCAGAAAGATAGAGATAGCACCAATCGATGGCATGGGCCCTTTGTTTCCTAAAGACCTAAGCAGTTTTGTGTTCAAAAATTAGCTGAAAAAATTCTAGTTTCTGTTTTATGTGATGGCCAAGAAGTAATCATGATTATTTTTCTGGATAAGGATAGAAATCTATAACTGATAAAATCTATTCAACGTCACAAGCCACTTTCCAAGAAAAAATATGGAGAAAAGATGCAGAAAGTTATTTAAAGTTGTTTTGTTTTTGCACGATAATGATTCTGCCAATGTTACCATACAAAAAGGGTGATGTAAGGTACACATTAGTGTTATTCACCAGATCTGGCAAAACAAGTCTACAAAATTATCAATTTTCTTCTAATGAAGATATGATAGAAGCTGTAGAGGTCAGGTTTGCAGGACAACATCTTTTTTTTTAATTGTAGGTTCATTGTTAATAAATTTATTAAATTAAGAGGTTTATTCAATTTATCGATACAATCTTTGTATATCACATTATTCAAAGCAAGAACCTTATTGCTATTTGATAGGAGTTTAATGAGTAAGAACATTATTTAAGCTTACCTAAAGATTTTGCTGAGCTGATCGCCATCGGAAGTACCACAGAAAAGTGGTTTCAAATTATAAAGTTCCACCATAATACAACCAATGACCAAATGTCTACTGGTGTAGCATAAGCCAGACCCAGTAAAACTTCAGGTGCTCTGTACCATAGCGTAACCACCTGAAAATCAAGATTTTAAAAATTTCTTACTACATATAATGGATTATGGTTTTGTAACACAATAGAAACGATGAAGTTTGAGAAAAAAATAAGATATGGATTGCGTGGAACAAATACATATACAGTGTGGAAACCAGTTTTTGAATAAATTTAAAGTAAAGTAAACCATCGTTTACTTATGGTCAACGTGATAGTTAACTATCGCAAAAACAATAACACTAACAATAAGAAAATATATCGGCGGACGAATTATACCAGCAACTTAAAAAATGCATTCATGAGGCTGCAAGTGAAGCTTTCAGGTATAAATATAAAAATGAAACAAAAAATCAAGAATAGTGGTCTGAGAATATGCAAACGTTAGTAAACAAGAAGAAAGCTGCTTATTAGAAATGGATATCAACGAGACACGAGGAAGATTATAAGATATATAAAAAATTAAATCGAGATGTAAAAAAAGAAATAGTGAAAAGTAAAAATTAGATGTGGGATCAAATATGTGCAGAGGTGGATAGGTATATGGGAGGAACAAGACTTGGGCAAGCGTGGAAGGTAATAAAGTCTCTCCGGATGGACGTAAAGAAAAAAATTTAACTTACAATTAATGGATCTGAAACAGTGTAAACACTATTATGAGGTCTTACTGACAGAGGATAGATTTAAATTCCAAGAGATCGAAATGGAAGAAATATCCGAACATACATAAATAAATGAGATAACAACCAGAGAGTTAAGCAATGCCCTGAAAAGATCAAAAAACGTTTAAGTAGCAGGACCTGGAGACATCCCAATTGAGTTGGTAAAGTATGGACCAAAAATATTACATGAGATGTTGGTTCAACTATTTAACAAATGCTTAAAAGATCAAAATATCCCTGACGATTGGAATGTTGGATACATCAGCTCAATATTCAAGAAAGGGGATAAACGCAAATGCTCTAATTATAGGGGAATAACTGTTATCAGCTCAGTGGGGAGGTTGGACATTATGTTAATAACAGTCTCCTATAAAACTCGTCCCGAACTCTGTTTGAAGTGGTTTCCACTGTATAATATACAATAGCAAGGACAAAAGAAAAACAAAATGTATAATCACTTCTGAAATTCGATACCATGTAAATATGAGGTTAAGGGGAAAGTAGTTAAACAAACAGTTAATTTTAATCCTCTGGTGATAGATATATTCGGTTCAAGCATAAAGACGCAAGATACGACGCTGATACAAAAGGTAATAAAATAGCAAATTTTTTTGCTAATTTAATTATTGTTTTAAAAGTAAAATAACTAAAATTAAACGTGTAGCATACAGAGTACATGTTTTCCCACTTTAAATCATTAGAACAGTGTCAACTAATCATCTAAACATTCAACTGAGTGAATAAAATCTCAACTCAATAAAATAATTTTGTTTAGCAAATAAATTACAAGCAATTATTAATCTCGGTGCAGAAATTTTAATTACTTAGTTAAATTGTTCAAATTCTATTTAAAACAGTTTACTTACTACTGACGTCAGCTGCATTTCACAATCGTAGATCTTGGCCAAACCAAAGTCTGCCAATTTGATGTGTCCATCATGAGTGACCAACAAGTTTTGAGGCTTCAGATCTCTATGAATGACTCGGATGCTGTGTAAAAAATCCACACCCATTAGTATTTCTTTACATAAATTTCTGATATGTACTGAACTGAATCCACTTGGATGTCTCTCTATGTATGTTGCCAAGTCTTGTTCCACATGTTCAAATACCTAAAATATAAAAAGTATATTTTACATTGTTTTTACTATGACTATTGTCAATCAAATACCTAATAGAAAGGACAAATGAGTATAATGTACCTTTATGATTGACCTTTATAAATTTCAAGAAGGCGTTTGACACTAATGAAAGAAACCAAATAATTTATGTCATGGGAAATGCCAGAATAGATAAAATATATCAATTTAATTAAGAAGTTTCAAAAGAATTACTTTCACAACTTGGGAAGCTTTTAAAGAATTAAAATGGGACAACTTGTGAATAAACATAGCAGGAGAAAGACCCAATAACCTGAGATTCTTTGGGGGCGTTATTTTATGTGTACACAAAGAAACAGAAATTAAGAGAATGCTAGAAGAATCACAGCAAAAAGCAAGGAAGGTGAGATTATAAATGAATACTACAAAGGCAAAGTATATGAACAACCAACAAAACGAACATCTAATGATCAGGAAGTGGAGAGTGAATTCATATTTATCCAAGAACATGACATTAGTAGAAGAATTAGGTTGAGCTGGGCCTCTTCCTCATTCCTTGGTATGCCTCATCACATTCCTCAATGCCCGGTTTACCATTTTTACTAGCCTGTCTATTAAACTCTTTGAGAATTGATAGGTTGGTTTTCAACCTATCAAGAGAGCTCAGAAATAAGTGACTCTTCTGATTCTGCAAATAGAAATTTAAAAGAAACCTGTAAAGAATTGACCCTGATCTCGACTCTGTCACGAATAGGTTTTAATTACACCAACAAGGCAGAGCTTTCAGTATAGTTAGACAGCTTCAGCAGAACTTAATGCTGCTATGAGAAGATTCAATTTGGCCTTGATACAAGAGCCCTGGACATACCAGGGCAAAATAAAAGGTCTGTCGGTTATTAGTGGAGTGCTTACAAGTATATATACTTATATTATATAGCTCCAGGGCTCTTCTGACCCACGTTTCCAAAGATCAAGAATTCAATATGTGGATTTCAAAGAATTCCAGTTGCCCAGAAGCCATTGGTGCCTTTAAAACAGCATTTTACAGGTATCAACTGAAGACTGAAATAACTGCTGTAAGTGTATCAATCTTGTTGTGACATAATTTTGATTTTGAAAAGCAATAAAGTACTTTAAATCTATATATATATATATATATATATATATATATATATATATATATATATATATATATATATTGTCTTTATAGCTATATGTAAAACTAAAAAGACAACCCTAGTATGACCTGTATAGAACTCTACAATATCTATCTATACATATGAATCTTGCATAAGAATATTCGAAGTAATTTGAGCAAATAAACACTTACCAAATACATTATGAGTTCTTTTTCCATTTGTTGTCCATGACAAACATCCAAAAGACGAACAATGTTTGGATGATCGAAGGAGTTTACTTGTCGAAGTAAGGAGATTTCTCTTAAGGTGTTTAACGATATGCCATCTTCTGTTAAATGTACACATACTCGTTTCAGGGCTACAAGGTTTCCGGTTTTTCTGTCCCTAGCTTTGTACACTGTTCCATAAGCACCTATAATATTTAAAATTAAATTTTGTATTGATAAGAGAGTAATAAATATTAAAAACTTAAAAGGGAAATATTAAAAACTTAAAAGGGAAAGAATTAAAAATGTTTTCGGTCCTGTAAAAAAAAATGAATATTTCCCCTTTACACTACCATCAACAAGCTGTAAGCGTTTGCTCTTTAGTAGACCAAGAATTATTCAATATATATATATATATATATATATATATATATATATATATATATATATATATATATATAGTATGTACATTACATAACAATATCATCTTAACTTTTGGTGATTATCTATTGATGATAGACATAGTAAATTAAAAAAAAGCATTAATAGCTACAGATAGTAATCCCTCACCCTGTCCTACACCGCATATGAATTTCATCATGTTAGAGTCCATCCTATCTAATCCTTTTTACAGATGAAACAATTTTTTACTGTGGAAAAAACTTTCAATGAGCAAAATTATCCTGCCTCATTGATGGTTTCACTTTACATTTTTGTGGTGAGAAATTATCAACAGATTACAAGATGTCAGCATAATGTGAAGTAATTGAAGCAGGCATTGGTAGAAGCTGTCCACAATTTTCCTAAGGATGTTGTCAGTACAGTGATCAATGAATAGCTTTGGTACTGTGTTCAGGTGAATAAAATTAAAAAAAAATTTTTTAGTGGTTTGTAGTTTATTATACCAGTAATAAAATGTGGTAAAACTTTTAAATTAAACCAGTAGTTAAATTTTTTTAGTTAAGTATCTTGTATCAGTGGCACAACTAGGTATTTGTTACCAATTGGTTTCAAAATTTATCAGAAGGAGGACTTGAGGCAAGCAAAGATTGAAGGGGCCAAAGAAACACCAAATTCTACTGAGCAAATAAATGAAGAAATATGTGAAGCAGTACAAGAAGAAGAAAGCTTAGTAGACATATTGTAACCACCAACTAAAAGAACTAAAAATAAAACCAGATACAGCATTTAATTATTTTAATACCTGTCTACATATTGTGCTAAAGAAAATGGCGAATCTGCTGAAGATATAAATCTTCTTAAAAATAAAAGGTTTTAAAATAGGGGCTACAAGTTTCACAAAAAATAACCTCAAAATATGTAGAACATCAACCAAAATGCATATGTTGTACCTATTTCCTTTATGAAATGTTTTATTTTATTTATTATGAATTTTTTTATACAATTCAGTAATCCGAACATTCATAATCTTATACTCTCTAGTTTTTAATAGTACCAGATTAGTGACATGCTATGATATTGAATAAAATACATAATATAGTTGTATACCTCTTCCTATTCTATTGAGTGGTTCATATGAAGGTTCATCTGCTGACATTTTGTGTAAAAAATTATACCTGCAAAAAAACATATATTTTAATAACTCATAGTTGTGATGCTGTTGGATGGATTGGATAGCAGGACAGTTGCTCCTAAGTCCAAAATAAGAATTCTTAGTTTGCCATGAAAATCATATTTTTTAAGAGTCACTCAACAGTATTTAGCCAAAATAAAACCTTTATTTTAGTTGTTTTGTACCAATTATTGTTGCAGATATATGTTGTGAAATTTAAATTAAAATCACCCTTAAAATTACTTCTAGGTTTGCACACAGGGTCATTATGATTCAGCTCATAAATATGTCCACTTTTGGAACTACCCCCTTCTTTTCTCTACTTCTTTTTTATCTCGTTTCATTGTTATTGTACAAAATTGTTTTCTCCACACACTATGTAGATGATATCAATATAATGTCATTATTACATCTCTCTCCATCATTTTATCATCATGAATTTATACTTCTCTAAATTATTATTTAGTATTTTCCCACATTTATTTTAGTTGCCTCTTAGAGTACATATGCATTGTCATTCACACATTACTGTTTTTGGATTTTTTTTGTCATTTTAACATTTCTGCATGTGATCTGTGATGGAATTTTTGTTTGACCTGGTATACTGGAGAAGCTTCTACAATATTTTTATTATATTGAGTCTTTAACACATTCAGTGCTTACTTCTCAGCTGTAGTGCACACCATCAGTTCCTTAGCACTACTACAGTATTGAATTCAAATATATAGATGTCATGGATCCACTACAAGATCACTCCATTATACTTGTCATGTGACAGATCCTTGACATCATCAGTGAACGAGTTAACAATATCTCTGTATATTAATACACTTTTCCTCTAGGAGAGAAAATATACTTGAAATTGAAAAAATAAATTATTCTTTTAAGTTTTTAATGTTAAATTTTAACTAAACCTGTTAATTATTACTAAATCATAACATTGTGTACTAAAATAGCTTTGTGAATAAAGAATTAGCTTACAATATATATCAATAGCAACAATTAATCATAATCTGCTACTACTGACATATTCTGACATAATACTGCTACATCTGGCATAAGGGTTTTTTAAATCACATTTATTATATAATTACATTCCACAATTATTTTTTTATGTTAAAAATAAGATACTATATCTAATCTAAACTTAATACACTCAGAAGTACCATAGGTTAGTATTTTAAGATCAATATATGATATCAAACTTTATCTGTGTTTCCTACAATTAAAAGAGTGAGTTCGACCATGGATGTTTATCTTAAGAAACACAAATTTTTAATAATAAAAATTACATTGAAAAGCTAAATTACAGGATTATTGAAAGTAGTAATTTTGAACATAATTAATTAGCATGTAAATATTTATTACAGAATACAAATATGGCTGAAATTATTAGATCGACTATCAAAAATTAGAAGGAGGAAGGCGATGGATAGGACTGAAGAAAAATTCTTGAGGAGGCTAGGACCCACATAGGGTTGTAGAGCCAGAATGATCAAAAATTATAATAACCTCTATGTTCTAAATATATTGAAAGGAACTAATTTTTTGTCATTATAGTATAAACAATTTTAAATTGATTTGTTTATGAGAGAAAATAAATCAATATATGAATCAGTATATAAAGCTACCAGAAAGTAGACATTATACAGGAACGAGTCATTTTATTGTATGTTCATTTAACAAATTTTTATTGTTTCTTTATTTTTAACAGCCAATAATCATTGTAAGAAACACAAATAAGATTGTAGTGAAATCAAAAGGCAATAATGACAATCAATATCGATCAATATCGGCTATAAACAATATACAATCAACAAGCAATTAGTAAAATATCTAAAATAAGTTATTTATTATCCAAAACTTCCATAAAAAACACATGTTGCTTACCTTTTTTACAAGAAGAATTATGGATTTAAATTGAATATAGCTCCGAACAATTTTTCTGTCTATTTATTCAGGTTATTTTACTTTGTTTATATAATTTAAATATGATGAGAATACTATTAAAAGCGTAACAAAAAATAAATATAAACAAAAAGAAACAATTCTTTAACCCTTAAGCTGGATTTATAGTTTGACGGACTGTAGACGCAGACGCACTGGAAAAAGATCAACATAGAACACTTCATTGTTGCGTTGGTTCTCTGTGTTTTTTGGTATGGTAACTTTGTTTTGGGTTTTGGCATCCTGTTATAGGCTTTTGCCTCTTCAGGATGTGGTTCTTGGGTTGTTGGTGTTTGGCTTCTGGTTCTTTGCTTCGTGGTCTACTGGTGGGTGCAGCCAGGGCAATCAGCGGAGAAAGGTAGTGGTCGGTTCTTTTCAGAATTGTTTTCTAAAAAATATATTAGTGAAAGTTAGTGAATGTTAAATTAATATATGTACAGAATGCAATATTAATATATGTACAAATACATGCATTAATATGTTAAATAGTAAATGTGTTAAATGTGTTATCGCGACGCGTGAGGGCAGCTGCGGCTGTATCCTCAAAATAGACAGGTATCATTTGCAAATGGGATCGGGAAACCGCAGAAAACCGATCCCCCCCTGTCTAGGCAAGCTCGAAGTGAGCAATTTAGCTTGGAATACGACGAAAATAGAGGGGAGTTGCCTCCTGTATGTCAATGTATTCATCAGGGAGTTCGTTACTGGCGAGTTCCAGTAGAATTGCGGGTAGGTGTGGGATTTTGGGTTTAGGATGTCTGGTGAATACATTGCCGTGGGAAGAGCAGACAGTTTTTAGGATGCGTTGAGCTCTGAGGTTTTGGCTCCGGATAGTGCGTGTAGTATAACTTCTGCTCAGAGAGTGTAGTCTCTCATTTATGGGCTGGATATTAGATAGTTGATGAATGAGGGCTGAAGGGTAGTCGTTTCGTTTGCCATTCACTCTACGCAGAATCCTCCGCTCTAGGCTTAATAGGTTTTCTTTGACTGGTTTTGGTATTGTATTATAAATGTTTGATCGGTATTCAAAAATAGGTCTAATAAAAGTTTTGTATGTGAAAATTAATGTTCTAGAGTGCGTGGCCCCGAAATTACATCTCAAACTATTGAGGAGACTCAATCTGCTCCTAGCCTTAGCACAGGCTGAGCTCAAGTCGGCCCTCCAGTTCAAAGTTTGTGTAAACTTCACACCGAGGTATTCGACCTGATCACGGAGTTGGAGTTGATCTCCCCACAGCGTGAGATAGTTTCTTTCGTTAAAGGAGGCCGCGCGTACGCTGTGTTTAGGGTGTCTGAAAAGAATCGTTTGAGTTTTGTTCGGATTCAGGGACACTCTCCATCGCCTGCACCAGTTTTCGACTAGTCTAAGGTGATTTTGAGCATTCCTGAGAACAGAATCAACGTTCGTTGCTGTAGTAACCAGAGCAGTATCATCTGCGTAAAGTAGAGTGGTGGTTCTGTTACGGGTAGTATTGGGGAAGTCGCTGTTGTATATTATGTAAAGTATGGGTGCCAGTACGGAGCCTTGAGGTACTCCGGCTGTTGGAGTAAAGAAATCGGAGAAATGACCACGTTCCTTAACACGGACCAGACGATCAGAGACGTATGATTGGATTAGTCTGACGAAAGGAATTGGTAGTCCAATGTTCAATAGTTTCTTGATCAGTCCCACATGCCAGACTTGATCGAAGGCTTTTTGAACATCGAGGAAGATACCTAATGCGAGTTTGCTGTCGTTCAGACTTTGAGTGATGTGTGTGACAATCTCAGTCAATGCCGTATTAGTAGAGCACCCTTCTCTAAAGCCGAATTGAAAAGAGGGAATGATGTTGTGTTCGTTGGTGAAGTCAATGAGTCTTTCTTTTAGGATCCTCTCAAAGACTTTTGCTAAAACATTTGTGAGTGAAATCGGCCGATAAGAGTTAGGATCTGTGCGGGGTTTCATAGGATCTGTGCGGGTTAGGATCTGTGCGGGGATCAACATAGACTTTTGTGTACTCCTATTTATAAATGAACGTAAACGCAAGACGGGACGTAAGCGAAACGCACTGTAACGGAAGAGTTGGTCAACTTTCAACTTTTACAGTGCGTTTCTTACGTCTGACCAATCAAAGAAAGAATGGATTATGTTCATTGCACCAATATTGAAATATGCCAAAAATTGATCTGGATATTCTGTCTTCATCTTTAAAAAATAATTATAAGCATTCTCTATTTTTCTATTACGGTTTATTGGTCTTGTTTTATAACGCCTTGGTCGCCTTATTATTGTCCTTCTAGTTTTTTGCGATGCTACTGCACACAGCACAGCAGCAATCCTATGGATAAAAGGATAAAAAAAAATATTATAATAAACAATAGTATAAACACACACCCTTTGTTTATTATGAATTCTGATTCCTATAATTGTATAATTTATAGGTTATATTGAATGTTGTGGGCGTTGTGGTCGCCAATTCTTGTCTTTACTCATGCGCAAAAATTCCACTACGTCCATTTATAAATTGAAAAAATATTTACAGTCCGTTTCTTACGTCTCCAGTGCGTCTACGTCTACAGTACGTCAAACTATAAATCCAGCTTTAACGTCTAACCACCAACGACATTTGTTATGTTTTATGTTTGTTATTCCATACATGACATCTGACAGTTGTCGCAAGAAATATTCGTAAGGCGTTAGCATTTTGAAAATCGCGCTTTAAATTATTAGTGGCACATTTTTTCCTTTTTTTTAGATATTCAGATATACTCTTCACTAAATACGAGCAAATACATACATCGACAGCTGGTAAGTTCAAAATCTACGAAAAGTGTATAATTATCCATTTTCTAAGAATGTATTTCTTTTGATATCGGCGAACAGTACTTTAATAAGTACTGGATACTTATCTACCTGTTTTTAATTGTTTTATTATTCTATGCTTTTTAGTATTATAGTAAATATTTGTTTAATTAATAATAAGTAAGTAATTATTTGTTTAATTCTTAAATGTTTTTATAAATTGATGTGTATTAATAGTTAACATTTAGTTATAATAGAACTTTCCTTTATGCACAGTTTTGTTAATAAGCATTACGTTATTTTATGTTATCTTATAATATACTTACTTACTTAAATAAAAATACTACATTACTGCCATTGTTGGCACAGACTAAGTATTTATTTTCTCACTGGAAAAAAACGGAATTCGAACTTAGGTACACGATTTTTGGGACAAATGGATGTTCTGTATAATTTTGACCTCCTGTTCGATATTGTCCCATAAATAGATATAAGATCGGACACTGACTATATATTATTTTTATTATTTTAGTAAAACGTTTATGTTAGCTATAAATCTAATCTTGTAAGTCAGTGGATTAATTAGACCACCTCGGATATGCCGATGACATTACTTTAAGTCTCATAACAAACGACTTAGAAGAAGCCAGCCTATACTACAACAACTACACCAGGTAAAACAGAGAGCCGGTTTAAGGGTAAACTATGGGAAAGCAAAATGATAACAAATCTCGTCCCAATAAACTAATAGAAACTCATAAATCGCCCATAGAATTATGAAAAGATATGTGTATTTAAGCCACGAAATAAGAATAAATAAAACGTCTGAAAAGAGTCTATGCGATTGTCGCATGCGTTCGACGCAAGCAGAAGTCGCAGGCGACGCGCTGGGAACTCCTCAAATGGTAACTTTACACAAGCGGTCTGCTTTATGCGTCCGGACGCAAGGAATCGCATGCGCCTGCTGCATCGACTGCATATGATAGCAGTGGTCTGCAGTAACTGCATGCTACTATCTGTTCAACACTGAGGTTAGTCCAATCTCTGATATTCCTCAGAGAAGATTTCTACTTTCTTCCCTCTAGTCTTTCTTGCATGATGGCGCGCAGCAGAGAGTATTTATCTTTTCGAAGTATGTGGCCTATAAGCGATGTTTTTCTTATTTTAATTATCTTCACAAGCTTTCTGTAATGTCCAATTCTTCGTTTGAGATTTTGGCAGTCCAAGGAATTTTTAGAATACGCCTATATGGACACATTTCGAATACCTCTAATCGTTTACGGATTAAGCTTTCAAAGTCCAAGCTTCTACCCCATATAGTAGTTGTCACCATACATAACATTCGACGATTCTCAATCTGATAACCATACTCAATTTCTTATTTATAAACATTGAATTGTATTTTAAAAATCCTCTTCGAGCTATTTCAATTCTGACCTTTATCTCCTGATCTTGATCTAACTGTGAATTTATAATTGCTCCGAGGTATTTATACTTGTCGACCATCTCTAACGGTTTAGCCTCTAATGTCAGATGTATGTTGTCAACAGGGAGTTTCGAGATCACCATGTATTTGGTTTTATCTATATTTATTGTTAGTCCCATCTTAGTTCTCACATACGGAACAGAAACCTTAACTTTCACGAAAACATCAGCAGAAAAATTGAAAAGGACACAACGTAAAATGGAGAAGAGATCAATGCTTGGAGTAAGCTTAAGAAATGGACTAAGAAATAAAGAAGTTCGAAGACAAACCGGAGTGGAAGGCATTAACTAATTTGTTACGGGGCAAAAAATAGAGACATGCTGGGCATGTTACAAGAAGGAAAGACGGCAGATGGATACAAAATTGCTTGAGTGGAGACCACAGGTTGACAAGCAAGCCGGGGAAGACCCCCAACACGATGCACCGATGAGATACATAGGTCATAAATAAATGACATAAATGGATCTATAGAGGAAGTTGAAGATTTCCATTAAACATTAAACAAAATAAACATACTTGAAGAATATGTGTATGTCAGAAACAACGTGAGTTAATAATTACCATCCAGAATAGAAACTTATTTTTGCCATGTAATGTGAAAAAAGATATGACCTAATTCACTTGATCACACATTGAGTTTTTTACGACTGCAGCATTAAGGTTAAAAATAAATATTATTTATGTTATGCTGTCCTTATACTAACTCCTTGGCTAACTGTATCGCCCACAGAAAACTTTTAAAATATGGTTAACCAAGTTGATCGTTAGATTTTTGGGTCTTTAGATTGAACGCAGATAATAACCATTCTTTCGGAATTTTCCCATGATCATTACTAGCCATTATTATT